TTTTTTTTTTTTTTTTGATAGAATAAAATACAGGATAACACAAGAGTTCGATGTGGTAACAGTTTCCTTGGTTGGGAGTTCCAAGAGGTGCAGGACATTGTATATCAAGAGGTAGGGGCTTCATGTGACTATTTTTCTTTCTTCCTTCTTTCTCACACCCCCCTTCCTCTCTCTCTCTTGGTTTTTTAAGACAAGAGTTTCTCTGAGAAACAGACCTGGCTGTCGAACTCACTCTGTAGACCAGAATGGCCTCAAATTCGAGATCCGTGTGCCTCTGCTGGTATTAAAGGTGTGCACCACTCCCGCCCCGCTTTGTGTATTTTATACCCTTATAAAGCCACCAAGACTGCACCACAGGGTTTCTGCCCTAATATCTACACCTGGCCATGTTTATGCTCTTGTGTTTGTTGTTAACCTGACAGAAGTTAAAATCACCTGCCAGATTAGCGTCTGGGCAAAAGCCCAGCACCACCCCCTAGGTAGAGATTCTGATTTACATAAAGTGTAGTAAATTGCTGCAGACTGAATGCAGTGCAACCCAGCTCCCCTAGACATCTGCCATTTTGTCTTCCCTACTAAAGTGGACTGCAACCTAGAACTGAACTGAAGCAGTCACATCAGTCTATCACAGCAACGGGAGTTGTCTTAATTCCAAAACGAGTTAAATTTGGATGTATGCCTCAGGGGATTCCTTCAAACCATGTAGTATCCATAGCCTGATCTATAAACACCATTTACTTAGATATTTGTATCTTCTGCTATTACCTTGTAGAATTCCTTTTTCCTTCAAGTCCTGTAATTTAAGTTTATTTGTAATCAACAGTAAATAGCGATTTAATTTTCCCCCACAATCACACTGATACAGAATATAATCTCTAAAATGGTAAACATTACCTCTTAACAGACTAGAAATATCTGGTTTAATAATTGGTGTATACAAGTGCAGGTATCCTTTTTCCTATTTCCGTTCATTTCTGTGCTCATTTCTTTACACATGCTCCACAGATATATCTGTATGTGGGACTGAAGGTGTGTGCAAGCATTTGAGGCCAGTAGAGGATGTCGGCTTGCCTGGAGTTGGATTTATATGGAATTGTCAGCTGCCAGTATTGGGGTGCTGGGAATTGAATTTGGGTCCTCTAGAATAGCAAGCACTTGCAACTGAACCATCTCTACCCCCAATATTGTGTGAATTTTAAATATTCATTGTTTTAGTATACCCTGAGTCAGTTCCAAACTAACACATTCCATGTTCATTCTTTTTTGAAAATCACTGTTTATCATCCCTCCTCTCCCAAATCTGAGTTCTAATGCTGTTTCTAACATTCTCATAACGCTGTCCCCAGACTCTTTCTTCAAGGTCCTGGGTGTAACCATCCTCTACACTTCATCACTGTGCTCACTCTGGCAGGTTATTGGTTTGGGATGTTCACTTCTCCTAGGGCTAAACATACGGATGGAACTCAACACAAATCTTTTTGTTTTGCTTTGTTTTTCAAGACAGGGTTTCTCTGTAGCGTTGGTGCCTGTCCCAGAACTAGCTCTGTAGACCAGGCTGGCCTCGAACTCACAGAGATCCGCCTGCCTCTGCTTCCTGAGTGCTGGGATTAAAGGCGTGCACCACCACCGCCTGGCCTAACACAAATCATTTTTAAATGTCTACTTCCACATGCCCTAGTGGCTGGGCTGACTCAGGGATGTTCTCGATATTAATTTATGCTTATACATTGCTAATCCACATGTGTATGTATTGTATATATTTTATATATTTATATCATCATGTATAATGTCATATGTTATCAATTTAAGACCAACATTCATGTGAAAGCAAGTTTCTGAATTTCAGAAAGGACAAAAGACAGTTTCTTCCCTTTTAAAATTCAGTGTACAGGGCCTGGAGAGATGGCTCAGTGGTTAAGAGCATTGCCTGCTATTCCAAAGGTCCTGAGTTCAATTCCCAGTAACCACATGGTGGCTCACAACCATCTGTAATGAGGTCAGGTGCCCTCTTCTGGCCTGAAGGCATATATTGTATACTAAATAAATAAATTTAAAAAAAAATTCAGTGTACAGGCTCCGTTTATTTTTGGTGTTGAAAGCCAGGCCATTTTTCTAGTTCACCTGTGTGCATCCCCAGAAGGATTATATTTTTATAGTGGTAGATTATTTCCACATCTTTCCTCACCTGAGCCTAAAGTTAAATTTGCCACTCGAGCTGTCTCATTAATTCTCCCCGGCTCTGGAGATTCCAGTTTCTTCATGTTGCGTTGATTTGCATCATAATCTGACTCAGTGTTTTTAAGGTGCTTTGTAGTATAGGAAATATATTTTTGTTTAAAACATAATTACTCTGCAGGGGCACACAGTGAAATGGTAATGACCGTGGAATTAGGCAAGTTAATGTGAATTCCAACAACTCTAGTCCTAGATACAGTTTACCTCTGCTCTGTTTCCTCCTTCAGTTTTAGGAACTTGTACAAGAGTAAAATGTTCTTGTGTGTATGGCAAGGATTGCATTTATCTATAGCAAGTTCTACCTACTGCAACAACAGGCAAAATTCTGTTATTTATGACTACAATTAATTATGCATGCACTGGATTTTTTAGAACAAAACTGATGAAATAGACATCAACACCTGAAGCTAGAGTTACTACTCAGCACACTGTCTAGTACATACACAAGAACCTGGGTGTGATCCTAAACATCGCATGAACTGGGGACGGTGTCCCACACCTGCAAGTCTTGTATTTTGGAAACTGAGGCAGGAGGACTGCTGTGAGTTCCAGGACAGCCAGGTCTATATTACAAGATCCTACCCTGACTGACAAATGAAAACAGGGAGGTGGTTCTGCTTTGCAGGTTAAATCTGCAAGAGTAGATGTTAGAAATACCTGTTCTTATTACACACCTTTAAACAGTTCATCTTAGTAGGAAGACATGGCAGCATCAGTGGGCCTGGAGGCAAGAGCTGGAAGCTGAGAGGTCACATCTCAGCCGTACGCTTGAAGCAGAGAAAGCAAACTGGAAGTGGGACAAGGTTTTAAACTCTCAAAGCCTGACTGTAAGCCCCTCCCCCAACTGCTAGGTTCCACCCACAGAATACTTTATCTGCCTTAATTGCTAGACCCTGTCCCCACCTACAGAGTAAAAAGCTCAATATCTGGATGTGAAATCACACCAGTCTACATCCTGAAAAGCATCACGCTGTTCCCAAGAAACTGTAAGTCCTGTATCCTGGGTCAGTTTGCTGTTGTTTTCCCCCAAGCAGAGGTAGCCACCCTCCTGGTTTTTCCCCCCAATAAATCTCTTGTGTGAGGTTTCTTGTGCTAACTGACTTTGTGGTACTCCTTGGTTCCCTGCTATTAGTATACCTTTCTCTCCATCTGAGCTGCAGTGCTTACACTGACCACAGTGATGCCTTCTTCCAGCAAGCCTGCCCCTCCACATAACCTCTCCAGACAGCACCATCAACTGGAGACAGTGCCTATAGGGGAACGTTTCTTATTCAAACCATCACAAAATCTCTTGCCACTAGGATTATGCCAAACTCAAGCTAAATCACAAAAGTTCAGCTGGTCAACTTTAAGTATTCAAAAGCAGAAACAGAAAGACTAACACTTGGATAGACCTCTGTACTAGCAAACGTTAGAACTCAATAATGAAATACCTGGAAAAAAAATACTTGGATAACTGACATAAGATACTTATTAAAAATTCCTAGTGATAACTACAAGAGATGGCTCAAGAGCACTGGCTGCTCTTCCAGAGGTCCTGAGTTCAATTCCCAGCAACCACACAGTGGCTCATAACCATCTATAATGGGATCTGGTGCCCCATTCTGGTGTGTAGGCATACATGGAGGCAGAA